GGGTCACAGGCCATGACCCCCAGCAACAGCACATTGATGTTTCTCTCTCTCTCTCTTTCTCCTTCCCTCTCTAAAAATAAATAAATAAAATCTTTTTAAAAAGCTACCTTCTCCTAAAAAATATATATTTTAAAAAAATATATATTTTATTTATTTTTAGAGAGAGGGAAAAAGAGGGAGAAAAACATCCAGGGACCTGGCCCGAAACCCAAGCATATGCCCTGACCTGGAATCGAACTGGTGACCTTTCGGTTCGCAAGAGGACACCCGACCAGCTGAGCCACACCAGCCAGGGCCTCTTCACTCCGTTCCTCTTTATACTTTGCCGTTTCAGGCCTCATCTTTCTCACCAATGTTACCACCACACTGTCCTAAACTGATCTCCATACCCACCACCCCATTACACATTTGCTCTAAAGCACAAACCTGACTCATCGCATCAAACGTTTACTTAGCACCCTGCAACGCCTGGACCACCGACCGACACAATACGCACACTTGTCAGCAAGAACTCAAGGTCCTTCCCAGCCTTTCCAGCCTCGTTTCTCAGGATTTCCCTCTCCCCACACACATTCTCAGGCCCCCGCCCTCCACAGCCAATCTGTTGCGTCCCAACTGCTGCCCGCGCTCAGGCCCCCACACCTACCCAGAATGTTCTCACTCAAGACACAGCTCAACCACCATGTCCTCTCTGGAAATTGCCTTAACCCTGGAATTTTCTTTAGCATTCATTCCAAAGGGCTTTCTTGCACCCTTCGTCCACAACATTTCCCAAACTGGTTTCTAATTCTGCTGGCCTTGCCTCTCGTAGCCCCCGCCCAGCTACGACACCCTGGAAGGCAGAGAAGGGGCCGCCTGCCTCATCGCGCGCACGTGCCCCCCAGCGCCTGGCTCGGCCCCTCCACTCCCAGCTGGGTCGGCTCCCGCGACAGAACCTTGACGCGGCTCTCACAAACGCCGCTGGCAACCTGGAAAAGGGGAGTGTCGCTACGGACGCAAGGTATTTCTGGAGACTTCTGAAGACTTCTTAAAATCCAATTAATTTTTTTTTAAATCTCAAAAAGATTAAAAAATGCTGAGATAAAACTTATACGAATGCTCATATCAGAAGGTCTATCAGGCCAAAAAGTGTCAGTAAGGAAAAAATAAACAGATGGAAACTCAATATTTATTTATAAAGCCTAAAGAAAATTTCAAACATGAGGGCATCTTTGACTGTGTTCTCATTTTCAATAGATGTTTTTAGAGCAAGAGCAGTTTTACCAAGGGCAAACATTAAGGATTTCCTCTCACAAAGAGGAAACCTCGGTTGAGCAGAACACAAGCAGTAGAATAATCTTACTGGCTATGCCTATGATTTTTCCTTTTAAAAATACATTTAAATTTATTTTCTATTTTCAAATGACTTAAACATTTTTCAAAATGAAACATCGTGTAAATTTACCTCTGCCAATCATCGCAATGACTGACTTTATATTTCATATAATTCTTAACTATCATCTGCAAAATTGCTACACAGATACCTGATAAATAATACAGAAATAGAAAATATCAGTCTGAATAATGCATTTTCAATGCATCTGTTTAAAATCGAGTCCATTTCCATTAGACAACTGAAAGAGATAAACTGAAGCATGTGGCGTAAAAGGAAGAACACGATTTCAACTCTTTTCAAAAACGTTACATGTGATTTGTGTTTAAATTCCAAATATAACTCACTGTATTTAGCACCTCCTGTACTCTCCAGTATATTAGATAATTGCACACCAAGTTAAAACAAAATAAAGGAAAACATGTCTGCCACCCACCCTTCTCCTAAGAAATGGAAATATTAAACACATACAGAGCACCTTGTAAAGGTCAGCAGGATGAGCCCCAAAGAAAGCTATTTTTTCTCCATTTAAAAAATTTGTCTGAGGATTTAGAGGACTTGGGGAACAAGGGAGCCAGGAAGGGAGAATTGTGTAATTACTGGTTTTGGTAAAAAAGATAGGTTAGTAATTTTCTAATCCTGCTCTGGAGAACCACGTACGCGCCTCGGCAGCTACGGGCTCCCAAGCCCCCACATCCGTCAGAGAAGCTCCGTTTTTCCGGGTCTGTCTATGCACGGGGTCTCTGAAAAATAACTGTCTGAACAAAGGTGTCCGTGACTTTAAAAAGTCTGAAAATCCCTAAGAAGGATTCACCAATATTCAATGTATAATATTGACATCAACACCTAATGAAACAATAAACAGAACATTCATATGAGAAAATGCTTTAAAAAACAAAACAAAATGGTGAAACAGTCCTGGATGGTGTGTCTCAGTGGACTGGGTGCTGGCCTGAGAACTAAAGGGTCGCCAGTTCGATTCCCAGTCAGGGCACAAGCCTGGGTTGCAGGCTCAATCCCCGGATGGGGGCATGAGAGGAAACCAATCCATGCTTCTCTCACACATTAATGTTTCTCTACTTCTCTTTCTCCCTCCCTTCCCTTCTCTGAAAATAGAGAAAGAAAATGTTGTTTAAAAATATTAAAAAGTGTTAAGACATTAAGTAGGGACGACTAATATCTGTAGTTGCTTTACCTTTATGAATAAATTTGTTTCTTTTGCCTTTGATCAGAGACTTACTGGGTACCTTGTTTAGGGAGGGGACACACAGGTTAACCTTTTTCAACTTGGTTTTGGCAGAAAGACAATGGATGGTTTTAGCAAGAAACTGGCTGTGAGCCCAAAGGAACGGTGGTGGAAGGGAAAGACGTTTCTGAAGACAATGGGCGACACTGCTGGGTGTGTGTGTTTGGGTGGGTGCAGGGGGGCTACGGAATAAACCCAGGCAGGGGACACACCCATCCTACTTCGGTGGAGATCTACAGAAAAAAAATTAAGTCCTTCCCCAGGGACGCTTCTGATTCCTGCCATCCTCTTCCTCCCATGCCCCCACTTCCGAACCCATCAACGGCACCAAAATCAGAAAGTCCTGTTAAACTACAGTGATTTACGGAAAGTCCTTTTCTACACAAATCAGACTTTGGAAAACACCAACCATGTCATACGCTTTGTTTTCTCTGATGAAAAAGCTGTAGACCCAAAAGCGTCTTTGCCAATGACGTGGGCCACGATGCAAGCAGATGACAGATGACAGGATGGGCCAACTTCTTCCCCCTTCCTCTCTCTCTCCGCAGCCCGTGGTATTTATTACAGGCTCAGGTCGTGACAGAGAAGAGAAGAAAGTTCCAAAATCGTCTAAGAAGGATCTACTAACTTGCTCTGCCCTTCCAAAATGCTTGTGTAAATGAGAGGTGATTTTCTCACTTGCCAAACTTTTTCTAATGTGGGAATTACAGAGAATGTAATTGAGTCTCTCCATATCAGGACTCATTAACTTCAAAAGGTTAAGATCAGAAAAAAAACATTAATTAGCTTTTTGCATTTTGAAAGCAAACTGTATGACTATGCACTGATTAAAACAAATGCTTCCCATTTGGTTAAAAAAAAAACTGGTAACAAGATGACAATTTTAACTTTAAATTAGTAACATTTAGCTCCTAACGTCAGTAAATACTCTTGAAGATTTAGAAATTAAAATCCTAGTTCGTTCCAAATATGGAGAGGCCAAATATGACTGTCACACATCTACTGTCGAAACTGTGGTCCTTTAGGTACCCTTTAATTATTTTACTGTGTAGTTGGCCCATTTAATAAGATACTAAGAACTGCAACTCTGGCTTCTGCCCTGTGGTAAGGCTGTGATGAAGGGAAGGCCATCCTACACTCACGTCAGAATGCTGAGATAACACCGATGTCTTCGAGGTAAGCACAGTGACCCAGGCCATCTACATTCCAAACTGTCCACACGCAGACTTCTCTGTCTACTTTCTGGACTTACTGACAAACCAGGAGAAGTTCCAGTGGTCTGTTTTCTTGAAACAGATAAGCCAGGAGAGCTACGTACCAATCAGTACCATACAGACACTAGTGTCCTCCAAGGAGATCTAATGCAAACCACCTTTAGGCATAATACTTAGTTTCCACCCACCCAGATGCCGAAATGTCTTCTTGCACCGAAATTCACATTTGAAATAAACTAAAACATGGAGATGTTTCAATCCTTTTTACAATAAGGGGCAGAATAAATAAAATTTAATTGATCTATAATAGGTTTTGAAATTTTAACCCTTCAACAAAATATCAAATTTTAATCTGACTATGTATCCTTCCTCTGAAGATATATAAATAAATTTTGTTTATAGAGCATTTATATCATGTAGACCACTACTAAATATACAACAAAATCAAATCACATTTGTATTGTTTTACATATAAACAGTTTCTGAGTATAAAAATCTATCTCCCCAAAGAGATAACAATACATTGGTGCATTTCTTCTTGTTTTTTAAACAAACAAAAAAAAAGAAAGAGAGCTCATCTCTGACACACACACAATCTTAAATTCTGGAGGGGTTTTTAAGTGAATTATTTCTACATAGCTGTCTAACCAAACTGCTGTGGCAGGGGAGGTGCAATTCACAGCTTATACCACCTGAGGGCACTCCTAAAATCTTGAAACAACTTTTAGAATCAAATTTTTATCTCCTAGGATGAAGGATTATCCCCCTAGTCCTACTGGAGGTTCGAGGCCTTGGTAGTGGCTTAAAACCCGTTTCAGAAACCACGTTTCCTCACCAAACCTGGGATGAGGATGAATGTGCATCACTTCTACCCGCTGCGCATTCTCTAGGCTCACACCCTTCCGACAGAAGTCGAGGGTCCAGAGCAGGTCCCAGATGACTTCCAACGAGAGTGTTTAAAAGTCACTGACGGACCAATCTCATACGACTACCCTGGCACACTCCGCGTTTACATCAACAGATAAAAGTTCACACTTCTGCAGAGAGTAACAGAAATTCAAGAATCACTTCGGATACACAGATGATTTACAAGCTGTCCAGAAAAGAACTGTTTTAACTCAGACATGGCGCTTCAGTTCAAGGGCACAGGCCCAGCAGAGGCGCTTACCTGTCTCCTGCGAATTCAACACTTCTAAGGCATGCATCATGGCACTTGCAAAGACATTGGCATCCTCTTTGCTGCCAAAGTTGAGACCGTACACCTGTCTAGCATCTCGCCACTGGTGGAAGGTCTGTGTAGCTTGATTGTACTTCAACCCTTTAGGAATGGCACAATTTATCACCACCTAAAAGACAAGAATTCTTGATAAAGTCCAGCTAGTACCTGTCAAAGTCAACAGATCCTGACTGAACAGATACACAGTCATTCATTCACTCGAATCTGTTCTGGGCCGACCTGGGCAAAAAACAGTTGAAACAACTGTCCAGGGTAAAATCAGTCCGCAGAAGTGACAGTCATGAGTGGCAGTTAAGCTGTCAGATGGTTACAAAGATCTGGCCTTAAAAAAGCAAACCAGAAAAACAAAGGAAAATATATATCCCTCATTAAACATATTTTAAGATGTTTAGTGAATATTATAAAATCACAAAGTGTATAAAATTTAAGCCTGTGGCCTGGCCAGGTGGCTCAGTTGCTTGGAGCACCATCCCATAGACCAAAAGGTGGCAGCTTCAAGTCCCTGTCAGGGCACACACCGAGGCTGCAGGTTCAATCACTGGTCGGGGCACGAGCAAGAGACGACCCATCAACGTTTCTCTCTCACACGGATGTTTCTCTTTCTCTCCCCACCCCTTCCCTCTCTGAAATCAACAAACGTGTCCTCCGGTGATGATTAAAAAACTTTTTTTTTAATTTTAAGCATGTACCTCAGTGAACATTCATTCCCATGTAGCCAAACTCCTGATCAAGAAATAGGACATCATTCTTCTATGTATATTTGAAACCTCATAAAGCACTAACTTTAGCTTTAGGCAGTCGGGGATCGTGTAAGATCAATATTTATGTTTCCAGTTGCTTTTTGTTCCTTCCGCCTTCTTCAAGCTCCCGCTGGGACCACTTCTGAACTTGAAGAATTTCTTCTGGTGCAGATCTGGGGTTGAATTCTCTCCCTTTTTGTCTGTCAGAAAATATCGTCATTTTGCCTTCATCTCATAAGGGTATTTTCATGAGGCACGGAATTTTAAGTGGGCACTCACTTCCGACAGTCCACTGAAGTCCACGGCCCTCCAGCTCACGTTTCTATCGAGACACCGGACGACAGCTTCTAGTTCTTCTCTGGAGTCGTCTCATCTTCCGTGACTGCTCGCGAGTTCCACCTCGGTGTTCAGTGTACAGTGGTTTTAATGCAGTGAGTGTATACATGGTTTTCTCTGTGTTTATCCCACTCAAGGCTCATAGCATTTCTCAAGGGATATTCTTTCATCGCTTTCAAAAAGATTCTTGTTCATTATCTTTTTAGTTGTTATTCTGCCCCATTCTCCTCTCCCCTCTGGGACTCTAATTATACAGATGCTACACTGTTTTCTGCTGTATTTCCTATATTTAAGCTCTTTTTATATTCCATTTTTCTCTCTCAGAATATCTTATCTTCAGTCTGAGTATTTTTTTCTGATATATACATATATATTATATACATATATATTCCAGTTTACTAATTCTTTTTAGCTGTTTCTAAACTGTTATAAAACCCATCTCTGAGTTGTTCATAGCAGTTATTTCATTTTTCAATTCTTAAAATGCCATTTGGTTCTTTTTTCAAGTATCCAGTTCTCAGCTAAAATACTCCATCTTGTCTTGTATTTCCTTGAGTATATTAAGAACAGTGATTTTAAAGTCACTTTCTGATAGTTCCATTAACTGGATTCCCACTGGATGTACTGCTGTTCGTCTTGCTTCCTCGGATGCCTGGGTATTTTCATTGAGTGCCAGACATTGCACATGGACAAATATAAGGACATCTGGAGGCCTGTGGTGATGTTATATTTTTTTCCAGTGAAAATTTACATTTGCTTCTGGCAAACGGCAAGGGAAACTAACGGTCTTAAATCACCTTAATTCAAAAGTGATTGAAATGAAGGAATGAATGGTCAAACTTCTTCCGAGCATATGGGATTTCTAGGCCCCGAACCGTGGGCTGGGGGATTACCAAGATAACCCTTCCTCATCAGCAGGGCCAGACTTTCGATTTCTGCTCTGCTGGGTCCCATGACTCTCCCCAAAACCTGTTTAGTTTCTCCATCTCCCCTTTCAAAACTAGCACACGCCTCTAGTAAACGCAGGTCCAAAGCTGAGTTCACGTCTATGGTAAGACCGTAACGACTTACTATTATATTTCTTTCCTCACATGCTTAGCAAACATCCCCATCCTTGGCTGCACCCTTCTTTCAAGGCTGAGAACTCTATGATGTTCGGTGAAACCTAACCACTGTGTCTACGACATAATAAGCACTTAAAACATGTAGAAAAATGGAATGTTTTAATGTGTTTATATAATTTGTACATGTTCCATCCTATAAATAAATGATGGGTGATTTTTTTTAAATGGCTCTTAAAAGTTTAGATGTCGTTTGATAAATTATAACATGTTTCCACTTGGAAAAGACCGATAACCATTAAGAAATGTAACAGGGTACTCTGGAATGAGAGGAAACCAATTTTTATTAGATGTACTCATATCTAATGTATATTATCATATCATATGTACATATGTGTATATGTACTCATATATGTATATTATCATTTCTGTTACTTTAGTATTTTTATAAAATTGCATTTTCTAATTGCTTATTGCTAGTTATACAAAAATGCTACTGACTTTCATATACTGATCTTGTATCCAGCAACCTTGCTGAATGGTCTTGACAGTTGTAATGTTTTACCTTTGTACTCTCTTGGGACGTTTTTGGAGACAACCGCATCACCGAAAATTACAATCAGCTATTTCTGTCTTTTCAAACCTTACAGCTTCTATTTTTTCATCTTCATATCACTAAGTCACCTCTTCTGCAATGCTAAATAAAACTGATTAAAGCTGAAATCGTCAACTTACTCCTGAGTTTAATGGAAATTCTCCTAACACCGCACTGACCTGCAGTGTTCGCTGAATGTCTCTATCAGTCATCCTTATCAGCTAGAGAAAATTCATTTTCAAACGTGCTGGGAATTATTACCTACAGATTTTAATTTTTTCAAACGCTTTTCCTGAATCTCAATTCTTGTAGGTTTTCTCCCAATTTCAATACTAGGTTATCTAATGTTAAACTCCCCTTATATTGCTGAGAGAGAGAGAAATCCTGTTTGGTCGAGGTGGTCCTTTTCTTTGTCATACACTTTACTGAATTTGGTCTGCTAATATCTTATTGAGGACTCCTACGTCAATATTTATAAGTGAGACTGGCTTATAATTTTCCTCTCTCAAACCTTTCTGTTTTAGACATCAAAATTGTACAAGCCTCATTAAATACTATTCTTTAAAACAATTTGTCTATAACTAGCAGTGTTTTAAAGATTTTTACATTTTGACTGCAAAAATTCTGGACTGACTCCCTCTGTTTTATAAAATTTTAGGTAGCTCATTAACTATTGATATATTTTATATGGTTGTAGGCCTAAGTTCTACATTTCTGCCAGTTTTGGCAAATCATATTTTTCTACAAAATAACCCACTTACTGGCATCAAGTTATTCATAATCTTATGGTACAGTCATTTATTTCCGTACTATCTCGCCATCTTTTCCAATCCTAAAACTGTTTATTTGTAGCTGTCTTTTTTTCTGTTTCAGTCTGCCAACTTTTCCATTCAGTAGGGCAGCTTTTGTGTTAACACTTTCTATTTATTTTTACAGTTCCTTCTGCTTCCTTCTTAAGTTCATTTGAGGTCATTAAGTAAGATTCCTCCACCTGAGGGCAGCTTAGACACTGCACAGGTTTCTGTACATAGTAACTTGTCACCCAGGTCTAAGTACTTTCTTACTTTCTGAACACTTTCCAGTCTTCATAATGACTTCATCTGAGTGTCCTGAATTACTTAGAAGTATTTTCAAGTTTCCATCCATTTTAAAAACACTCCCTTCATCAAAAACCAGAAGTCACAGGACAGTTTACTTCTCTTACAAATAAAAACATTAAGTGTTTTGTTTGGAAATTGCCTTACTTATAAAGATGTCTTTTTTTAATTTTAATCATTGTTCAAGTACAGTTTTCTCCCTTTTACTCCCAATCCAGCCCACCCACCCAACCCTCCCCACTTTCCTCCCATTACCACCCTCCCCCTAGTTTTTGTCCATGTGTCTTTTAAGTTTGTTCCCGTGAACCCTTCCCAATGTCCCCTGAAATTCCCTCTTCTCTCCCCTGTGGTCACTGTAAAAATATGGAACGCTTCACGAATTTGCATGTCATCCTTGTGCAGGGGCCACACTAATCTTCTCTGTATCGTTCCAATTTTAGTATATGTGCTGCCAAAGCGAGCACTAAAGATGTCTTTCTAATTATTTTTAAGTATTCATTTTCTTTTTTTGGCAACATTTCCTCTTTAGGACCGTTCTTCAGTACTATCTCCGTTTCCCCATAGAGACTACTTCGACTCCAGCTTTAAACCCCTGCTTTCTTTCCTTCACTGAGCATGCACCGAGTCCTGCTGGGATTGACACGAGGTGACTCTGAGGACGGAGCAGAGCCTTACCTGGTGGTCCTGGATCTTCCTGCCCACCACTCGGAACGTGTTGTTGCCCGTGTGGTGATATATGTGGACTCTGCTGAAGCCGGTCGAGCCGCCGGCCGGCACCCACTTCTTATTGGCATCATCATAAACCATCACGGCAGCTCTTGCCTGACAGATACTCTGTTCACTGTTCAAAGAAAAGGGCAGACTTGAGACATTTCAAATATGCTGAGGTGCCCACACAGCCACATACATCAGAGTCACAGCGTTAGCCAACCTAGCAGTCGGTCAACAAGGGACGCTTTCCTGGGCGCTGCAAACGACAGTGAGTGAGTGAGAGAGACGGAAGCTTCCTGCCCTCGCGGGCGCAGTCGAACAGACGCAACGACAGAGGCAACGAGGGACCGTGCGGAGGAGACCGGGATCCGCGGACACACCAGCAACACAAAAAAGGTTTCTCCTAAATCTGAGCGTCTAACACTTTCTCATCAACCTGAACACAGCTGCAAGTGTAAATTAATCATCTGTTTGATCGCATACATGTGTCTAACACCGGTGACCTGTCTGTGAATCCCTCTTTACCGAAAACCATCTTCTCCATCATCATGGCTTCAGGGTGTCTGTGGCAAGTTCCGACAAGTGTATCTGCCCCCGAGATGGGGAGTGGGCGCTAGCAACCGATGGCCGGCAATGTGAGTCCCCTCGGGCAAGGGAACACCCTGTGTGTCACATTTCTTCACTTAAGAATGCAAAAGTAAAATGAGAGGCTTTCTGGGGGTCCTTCTGGATTTTAATTCTAACCTTCACCGACAATCATTTCAAAAAGAGCGATTCCAGTACAATGTCCTTCGATCTCAGCTTCATCTCAGTGACCTGCTACCAAACGAGACGGAGACACGTGAGCAAATAAAAATGAGGGAGATGATCTTAATCTCACATGAAGCACTAGTTGCATCTTTCAAAAAAATTCTCTAACACCATGGGGGGGGGAGACTGATTTGAATTTTATTAATTTCATACCATATTTTATTTTTAAAAAATCACACACGAAAAGTGGTCCACAGAAGAAGACGGGTACGCGAACTCCACGCTGACCGCTAACCCACCTCACTCGGCCCCCACGGCGCAGACTCATCGGAGGGGGACGCCTCGGTGAATGCAGCCGCTCCCACGCAGCTCGCCAGCCCCGTCTTTCAGGAAAGCTTTCCCCACTCCAACCTACTTCAAAGATTCCAAACATCGCCTGGGTTCCTCCCTAGCGTCTTCGGAAACAAAGCCACTTTCCCGACTTCTCCTCCCCACACGCCTGCCCCACCTCAACACCGTGTGTGTGTGTGTGTGTGTGTGTGTGTGTGTGTGTGTTTTGTTCCACCTGCTGAGGGACCTGGTGACCGAGGACCCCTGGAGACACAGGAGGTCGCAGCACAGAGCAGGAGCCAGTGCTTCAGAACAGGGGGTCACAACTGCTTCTCATCCCCCATGAGAGAAATTTTATAAAAACCTGGAACAGTATTTGTGCGGCACAAACACTGAAATGAACCCAGTGACAGTCTACATTTTTATGTCGCGCTGGAACTTTTTGGTAAAATAGCTCTGGGAGTAAAAACGAGCCAATGACTTGAACTTGAATCACTTTTTAAAGCCTGATTAAAGAGCATTTTGTCAGCACGGCCGTGGGAATCTCTTCACCACTAACGAGAGAAACGCTAAGGTGACAACACTCACGTAAGCCCGCAGGAAGACGCCATGGACAAGGTAAGACAAAGCGCCTCTTACTGCCCACAGGCCCGGAAACAAATTTACCACTACCTGCACGTCCCAATTCGATGAACAAATCTGTGAATTAATTGAGAACAGTGTTTCCCAGGTTTCAAAAATTATTATTTTTGGACACACAATAGGATTCCCATGGTTCAAGAAATAATGTCTCTTCAAGAAAAGTCCCAGTGGGTTCACACAAGCTCGGCAACGGAAAACCCCTGTTTTGTAAACTAGGTCATTCCATGCCTCAAAGAAAAAGAAAAGTTTTCAAAAAATATATACAGAAAATCCAAAACCAGGCGAGTTAGATATATTGTCCCGACTTCTTCCTCCACCCACCTTTTCTCCCCCCACTGCTCCACAGCGGGGACCTGGAGGCATCCCAAAGACGGGAGAGCACAGTTCACGGAACGGCTTTTCCCTGGTGCTCACCATGCACACCGCCAGTCCACCAGCAAATGTCCGGTGACTCCAACTTCCCTGGGAAGCTACAACCACGAAACAAGGACATCTCCAAATGAACCCACCAGAGCAGCCAACGAAGGCCAACAATGCAAAAACCGAGTCGATTCGTTTTCTAATGAAGAGGAAAAGAACTGTTCAAACTGAGGTTTCGTGAAGGGCACAAGTCTAACTCCGAACACAGCCAAGGAGCACCAGAGGAGCCAAGGGTAAAGAGAAGAAAAAGTCAGACGTGGGTAGGAGCTGAGGTGCTGCTGGGGAAGCCGTGAGAGCCGCAGGGGGTGTGGCGAGCGGTGAAGGAGAAGGCTGGGCCCACATAACAGCAGTCCTAGAAAACGTCCGGCACTCCAGAAGCCGCAACAAGGGCCAGCCAGGAGGAGATGACACCCCCCGCTGGGGTTCTGGGTGACAAATCGAGTCAGGTCTTTCCACTCCTTTCCACGGCATCGGAGGACCTTTCTTGCTAGAGACAGACATCCTGTGGCATAAAAAATATTCGGTCTTTGTCCCGGTTCCTGGCACGGAGCTCCCAGAACAAAACCCCTTGGCATCTCCAGAGCAGTAAGAGAGTTTTTGGTATGCTAATGAGATGACTCTAGGCTCCAGGAGGGAGGCCGGTTGCCAGAAACACTAAGCCATGATTAGAGGGTTGAAATGTTCAATCCCACCACACCCCCACCTCTGGGGTGGGGAGAAGGGCCAGAAATTGAGTTCACTCGCCAATGGCCAATGACTTCACCGATCATGCCTGCATAAACGAAACCTCCATAAAAACACCCAAACAGCTCAAGTCCGGGTGCTGGGGGGGTGGCATGCCCACAGTGGGCACGGAAACTGCACCCACCCCACACCACCTCTTCATTCTGGCTGTTCCTGAGTTGCATCCGTTACAGTAAATCAGTACCAGCAAGTCAAGTGCTTGCCCAAGTTCAGGGAGCCATTCCCATGAATCACCAAACCTGAAGGGGGTTGTGGAAACCCCCGCATGTGCCGTCCGCAGGGTGTAAGTGGAGAGTCCAAGTGCCCCACTGGAAGCTGGCGCCTGAAGTGGGCACAGTCTCATGGGGCAGAGCCCTTCACCTGTGGCACCTGCGCTCACTCCTGAGAGTGTCTGTCACAACTGAACCCAACTGTCGGACACCCAGGCGGTGTCAAACCCAAACCGGTTGTGATACAAGAAGAAAACCACGCTGCACACCAACCCCCACTCCAGGTGTGCACAAAATAAGCCGCTGGCTACCTGCTTGGGACCTCTCGGACTCAGGAACTTCAACTGCAGGTGGGATGAACCAACACAGAAGGTCAGCACTATTTCGGCCTACTTGCCAGGTAGGAGATTGGGGGTGTGGGAGGGATCACCGCAACGCAATAAAACGAAGACATTCTGGAACTTAAACATCGCACAATAAAGAAACCTACTGTAACGTACTACAAATGTAGCAGCTGGCTTTCCACACAGTTCTCCACATCGTCTGTTTCTTCCTTCTCCTTTCTCTCTGACCCAGTGAAATACTTAAGAGGGTCTGCTCGAGAGCACCGCTGGCCCTGGCCCCAACAGAGCGGCCGGTGCAGCCGCACATAAACAAGCAACGGAAGAGACAGCTCAAAGGGTCTTCTGACGGGGATCTCCAGCTTTCTCCTGGAGGAGTTCTAGCTGAGAAAGTCAACGAATGGATTTCCGATGTGATGACAGTGTACACACGTGCAGTTTTTCAGGGAAAGGAACAGGAGAGGGAGGCGAGACTTGAGAACCACAGCTACTGGAGTCGAAAAGGGGGGAGAATGAAGACCTACACAAGCACGGCAGAAACATACCAAAACTTCATTCTTGTTACACGACCATCCTCTCTCCGCATCATTAACGAGCCTCCAGGTGGACACCTGCAGAAGAAGGTTTCGGCATCCGGAGTCCACAGAGGAACTACGGAACACCAAATCCGTCAACTACTCAGGTGCGGTTTTGTGAAGATCAGGCACCAAATTAGTTGCAAACAAACATGTCATTTTATGGCCAAAGGCAGTTGGTATATATAAGAGATAACAGTTTTTCTTTCTGACGTTAACTTTTGTGATTTTAAAATAAAATATGGCATTAGAAGGCTAGAGGTAGCTGTTTTTTCTTTTTAAGTATAAAAACCACGCCCCTACATTACAATTCTGTGGCTTTGTCGAGTAATTCATCCCTGACTATAGTGAAGTTTCCTGAACAGGTAGATATGATGGTAGAAAATGGCTGCTGAGCCCTGTTCTCATAGCTGCTCGTGAGAGAAAAGCTTCCCCGTATTTAAGCAAATTAAGGATGGCTTGGCTATTTACTGAGGTTGCAGTGAAGCCACGTCTTTGCAAATAGCAGCTTTCTTTCAAAGACGCCACTCGTGAATCATTACTTGTCAAAGAAAGCACGGCCACCACAGGGCCTAGCACACAGGGGACACTCTTCAAATGCTTCTTCAGGACCGGATTTCATCTCGTGAGCTCCCACTTATGGAGACCTGGATCAGATTCCGTGTCTCCGTGAAGGCTTTCCGGGGTCTCCAAAGTCAGAGACACCCGCATCCTCCTGGGTCTCACGGTATTCATTAATCTCTGAACAAGGATGACTCTGGGAGGGGGTGATGCCGGAGCCCCCGGAAGGCGTGGGCACTCCACTCCAAACGCGCCCGCTGGGAAGCCACTCGAGAGCTTTAGGCAGAGCCCGCCTCAGTTTTTAAAAGATGGCTCTCGCTGCTGCGGAGACGGAGGCGGGACTCAGGAAGGGGGTGCAGAAGTCAAGAACGGAAGCATGAAGCCCAGTGTGAGATGAATGCATGGTGACCCCACCGGAAACACGGGAGGGAAGCGTGTGGGAACACGTGTCGGAAGGGATGCGGGCGGGGATCGCGGGTACACAGATGGGAGAGGAGGGGAGAGAAGGGGGCGGTCACAGGCAGGAGGAGAGGTATGATGTCACCTAGCATTTTATCG